CTGGAGACTTTCTTTAATTGCCTCATTGTCTTTGAATTTTTGGTCTTGGCTAAAGCCAGTTCACTCTCGTTTCATACCTGTCAATTATTTTGTTCAGACAATAAAAGAAACTCTCACTATTTTTCTTTTTCAAATGACAAGACTGGACCAGAGAAGTTTGGCAGTTTTACAGAGGTCACACAATTAGTCAATGTCAGGACCACTCTGGAATTTGGTTGTTTTAATCACCTTAAAGTGTTCTTCAACCGGGAGCAGCCCCTGGTCAAGCAGAGAGCTCTCTAGTGAGTTCAGAATCCTAAACCCTCAATTGGGGTGGTACAAATCCAAGTTGAAGCAATTATCTTAACTTTAAAAAATGCCCTTTTCTTTACCCTAAATTAAGATGATGTTCAGAAATGGGACATTGTGCTGCAATAAGTTAATGCTTTAAGGTCTTAATAGAAATTGGAAGTAAAACAGAAATTGGATCTTTGGGAAAAGTACTGGATTCTTGAATCTGCCAGTAATTCAGTGAACTTTTTCCATAGGCAGTTTTCTCAACCTTTTGGGGCTTCATTTTCTTTATCTAAAAAGTGAAGGTTTCAAGTAGATGGCCTAGCTGGCCCTTTTGAGCTGTGGCAGTCAACCATTCCATGGAGGGTTTTCGTCTCCGTTCTGTGTGGGGATGGTTGATTACACATCAAGGCACTTGGCATTCCAAAGACCCCAGGAATACAAGGTTCCCTCTTATCTAGAGATATTTTTTAAGTATGATAAAACTCCAGGTCATTTTTTTAAATGTATAGAGGGACTGAAAATGTTTTGATCTGAAAGGTTTTCCCTTACTGAGGCTGGAACATTTGCTGTTAGGGGATTTGTCTGAATAATACATTCGTTAGTGGAGAGACCCTATCGTAAATGAAGTATACTTTTCTGAGATATGGAATTCTAATTCTAAGAAGCTGTACAGAAATGGAGGTACAACCCATGAGACTCTAAAGATAGCATTATTTATTGAGATGGTAATTGTAAAATCGCTATCTTTTTAATGTTTTTACTGAAATTATTTTTTTATTTAAAAGGATCTTTGTTTTTTAGATCCAGCTGAATTCTGTCCACCTGTCTCTGTGCACCCTCCTTGTCCCCTGCACCACACAACACACACACACTCCGACAGTATGTTAAAAGCAGACTCTGTGGTGTACCTTCCTTGTCAAAATGCCATCTTTAGACATTGTCAGTGTAGTGATTTTTGGAAGGTGGGCAGCTCTCAGGGCCAAACAGCCAGCCCACCATGGCAGAAAGGGAGGCTCTGGTCCCTTTTATAAGCACATGGTCTTGGACAGGAAAGGAGGAGGGATAAGCCAGCAACAGGCAGAGTGGGGCACCAAGAGTCCCTGGGGGGTCTGCTGTGAAAAGTAGGGGCATGAACAGAAACTCCAGGTGGCGGTGCCTGCAGTGGCTGTGTGGATGGGAGTAGAACACCGGCACAGAACGAGGGGAGGAGCTAACCCTGACCCACCAAGTTGTCGAGAACTCAGCCAACAGACCTGGCTTGCAGGTGGCACCCAAGACCCAGTGGGACACCAAGTGTGTGTGGGGGCAGAAGCCCAGCTGGGTGGGCTGGCAGACACAGCTGTGTCTGGAGAGAAGACTCTGCCATTGGGGTACATCTCTCCACATCTACCTTGTTGATGGCAGTGTGGCCTGTAAAGCTGTTAATGTCATGTGCGGTGAGGCAGAGACTGTAGAGCTGGGTCTGCTGGTTGAAGTCTTCAGGGCTGTGGCAGGCTAAAACAGTCAGGCTCCCTGAAACATCGTCCCCCCCAGGGTGAGCCCCTGGGTGTTTCTGATACACATACGTCCTCAAAGTGTTAGAACTGGGGACACAGACCCGCACAAAGTTTGACTCTCCCAATCAGACGTGTTCGTCTCTAAACTCCTGCAGCACTGTTTCTTCATGTGCTCATTTTCATATTTATTGCTTTGTACTTGATATTACATAGCTTTATGTATACTTCTTATTTCCCTACTAAAATTTTGCTTATTAAGGAATTCCAGGTTTTCTGAGCTCCTTGTGATTTAGTCCTCCAGAGCAGCAGTCCCCAACCTTTTTGGCACCAGGGACTATTTTTCCACGGACTGGGGTGGGGGCAGGGGGGAGGATGGTTTCGGGATGCTTCAAGTGCATTACATTTATTGTGCACTTTGTTTCTATTATTATTACATCGTAGTATATAATAAAATAATTATACAACTCACCATAAGGCAGAATCTATTGCTGCTGCTGATCTGACAGGAGGCGGAGCTCAGGCAGTGATATGAGCCATGGGGAGCAGCCGTAAACACAGATGAAACTTCGCTTGCTCACTGCTCACCTCCTGCGGTATAGCCCCTGCTTCCTAACAGGCCACGGACTGGTCCATGGCCTGGGGGTTGGAGACCGCAGCTCTAGAGCACATTTGACACGCTTAAATTCTCTGTTCATTATTGCTTTATTTGACAAACTGCTTAAGTTTACAAACAACCACATGAAGTAATATTATTTCCTTTGTTTTGGCTGAATACTATCCTTGCAGGCTGTGTTTTTAATGTCTTAATTTTCCTAATTCGTTTTTTTTTTTTTTCTTTTTTGGAGACAGGGCTTCACTTTGTTGCCCGGGCGTGAGTGTAGTAGTGTCATCATAGCTCACTGCAGCCTCAAACTCCTGGGCTCAAGGGATCCTCCTGCCTTAGCCTCCTGAGTAGTTGGGACTACAGGCATGTGCCACCACACCTAGCTAATTTTTCTATTAATATCTTTTCATAGAGACAAGGTCTTGCTATGTTTCTCAAGCTGGTCTTGAACTTCTGACCTCAAGCAGTCCTCCTGCCTCGGCCTCCCGTAGTGTTAGGATTACAGGCAGGAGCCACTGTACCCGGCCTCTAATTTTCCTAATTCTAATAAGTAAATATTTACCTTACTCATTTCATAGTCTCTAATCATAGCCCTTTTTCATAATTTGTGATTGAAGAGGTCCATTGCAGATTATTTATCAGGTAAAATAATGTAAAAATCTACCATAGCTAATTGTTTGCTACACGTACTGACAGACAGACACACATATGCATACTGGAATCAAACGGTTAACCTTTCAAAGTCATGATTATGTGGAGATTTTAGTGATGCAGGAAGTATTCCTGTGCTAATATTAGGTGTGAGAAAGACTGAATTTTATATACCAAGAATGAAAAGAAAATATATGTACATGTAGAAAAACTCTGGGCTAAATGTACCAGGTGAAATTATAAGTGAAATGGTAGATATTTATAATTTTCTTTATACTTTCCCTGTATTTTCCCATATTCTATGAATTCTATGAATACACATGGAATATTGTTTTAAAAACCATCTCTCTGCCTGAACGTGAGCCTCCTATGGTGAGTTCTGGCCCATCTGCACTCACGGCCCTCTGTGAGTCCCTCCAGCTGTGAGTCCCTCCACAGTAATGGCAAGAGAGGATTTCCTCTCTTTCAGGGGCACAGACCTCACTTCCACTGATACATATTTTAGTTTTATTCAGATAACACATACATTGACTACTCAGTGTACAATTGTCATGTGAATTATGTGCCTAATTTGATAGCAGAAAGTTATTGTAACAGAAGCAAATGGTAAAGGCAAAAATGAATGTTTATACATTTTGATTCTCGCCCTACTTGCAGAACAATAGCACTAATATAACGTTGAATTATTATCTGCTCTAAAGATAGAATGCGTTTAAGTTTGCATGCTCTTTATTTTAATTTCATTATATGTAATTTCATTTTATTTAAATAATGGAAAGAAAAACTAAGAAATGGAAGATAAGCTCATTAACAAAATTTAGAATCATACCTAATGAGCAAAGTCTGCAGAAAAATAAAAGCACCACAGTGTGGCAGCTCCAGAAGTACCTCACTTCTGACAGAATGGAGCTCCTGGCTGTGCAGGGTGTGCTGTGTGTGTTCCAGGAGCTTCTGTGTCCAGGGGCTGGGCAGCCCGAGCTCCAGCCATGGCTCTGCTGCTGAGTAGCTCTGCATCCTTGGCCTGATTCCTTCATATTGTGCCTCGCTCTCCTCCTCTGTAAACTGGGATGTCATAGCAACCACTCTCGTTGCGCTAGTAAGATGAGATGAGTTAATGCAGGTAAAGCACTTGACGTGGTGCCTGGCATAGACACACCAGCTGTTATTACCATCGTGATCATAGTCATTGGTAACAGTCATAGTGCTGGGTGACAGCAGTCCCCAACCTTTTTGGTACCAGGGACCGGTTTCAGGGAAGACAATTTTTTCACAGGGGAATGGGGAGCAATGGGGAGTGGCTGTAAATACAGATGAAGCTTCACTCGCTTGCCTGCTGCTCACCTCCTGCTGTGTGGCCTGGTTCCTAACATTGCTGTTATATCACAAGTTTACTTACTGTACAGTTTCACAACACAATGATTATAGTAGGTTCTGGTCAAAATTTGAACATGTGGAAAAACTCTGGGCTAAACGTACCAAGTGAAATTATAAGTGAAATGGTAGATACTTATAATTTTCTTCTTTATACTTTTTTCTGTATTTTCCCATATTCTATGAATATATATGTGCATTTATCCTACATTTATAGTTTTTGAACTTACAAACTACTTTAGAAAATGCATATATTTTCAACCTTGTCAAGGAAAGCTGTTTAGATAATGCTCAGTGCGGGATGGGAAACAAAGAATAAATAATTTTTAAAGGCATCTTAAATTGTTTTGTGAGCGTTAATATATGTATGGACACACACACCCCAAGCCACAGTACAGAGTAGATTTGATTTAAGCCTAATTTCTGAATGATATTCATCTACAAAACAAACTTATATAATTTGGTGGGGACAATTTAGACAATTCCATAAAAGATGTTAACTAAAGTAAGTACTAAGGTATGGCTTTCTGGGACAAAGTGGTTGCTCAACAAATAGCTAGAGTTAGTGAGTCATTCAAAAGTTTTCATCTTTTATTTTTCAGCCTGACTATCTCTGCTGAGTGCCCCATGCAACTTGAAGACTTCCCTATGGATGCCCACGCTTGCCCTCTGAAATTTGGCAGCTGTAAGTTATTTTCACAAGTAAGAACCATGGATATACTTTGGGGTCAGTTCCACATTCATTCAGAAGAATTTAGGCTCTGTATATAAATAAGCACAATATGATGCAGTCTAAGATGCCTGGACAGTGTTTTGACCTGGCCTGACTAGTTTCCTTGTCTGTAAAATGGGAACATTAACACCTGCTCAGCATACATCACAGATTAGTGTAAACTGAGACAATGCGGGTGATGGCACTAAACAATGCAGAATATGCTCCTCTGGAGGTGTTTTTTTCCTGGTTTCTTCACCTGGCTGTTCTTTCTTGTTTTCACTTCTCATATTACAGATCACCTCTCAGAGGGGCTCCCAATTTTCAATACCCAGCCAGTAACATTTTTTATTGCATTGTAATCGTTGCTATGTTGACTCATTTCTTCTAGAATGTTCCATAAGACCAACGACCTTGTCTGTCATGCTCATAGTCACTGCTCACCCATAGCACTCAGCATCTTAGGAAATATGTGTTGCTTGAACAAATAAATTATTCATATCAAAACATGTTAGGTATATATTTAACCAATTCTAGTAGAAATTCCTGGATTCCAGCCATTCCAGACAGAGGGTGTGGTAACACTGGCCCCAAACAAGTGCCTGCAGCATCACCCCCACTTCTGAGACATTTGGAGCAGGGTGGGAACTGATCTACTGTTTCCGTCTTTCTTTTTGCTATTCACTTGTGTATGTGAAGTTTTCATTTTTGAAAGCAGAATGTCTTCTTTGAGATTAAGCATGAAAACTACATACGTTTGAATCCTTTGGGGCTATCCCACTCCTTTTCTAAATAACTGTGGGCAAGTTATTTAGCCTCTTTAAGCCTTTTTCTTAATTTGTAAAACAGATGAGAGCTGTTATGAGATGTTTCAAACTGGCAGAGTAACACTAATTAAAGTGCTCAATAAATATGCTCATTGTCATCATTACCATAAAAGTACTTTATGACAATGTGTTTATACCTTCTTGACAAATGTATATCTCATCTCCTCTTTGCTATAAATGATATCTCTTTGACACATTTAATGCTTATGGAACTAAATTTTGTCTAATATTAATGTTGCCACACCAGTTTCTTCTTTAATTCTTACCTGGCATGTCTTTTCTACATTTCCTGTTTCATTATATATCCAAGTTGGGAAGTTCTGTGTCTTAATGGGAAATGTAATCCATTTTATTTACTGTGACAATTTGAATGTTTAAAAATATTCCTGAAATGTTTATTTTTCTAAGTATCAAATTTTAGTACACTCATTGTTTCCTTTCCTTTTTAAAAAGGAACACCACTTATTGAAGTGACTGTCTTTTCCCTGTTTTGTATTCTTGGCACTCTTGTGAAAGATCCAGTTGACCATATAGATGTATAGACTGATTTCTGGACTCTATTGGTTCCATTGGTTCTATTGTTCCATTGGTGTATATGTCTGTCTTTATGCCAGTGCCACACTGTTTTAATTACTGTAGCTTTATAATATATTCTGGAATCAGGAAGTGCAATGCCTCCAGCTTTGTTCTTTCCTAAGATTGTTTTGGATATTTGGAGTCTTTTGTAGTTTCATATGAATTTTGGGATTGTTTTTTCTCCTTCTGTAAAAATTGCTGCTGGGATTTTGATAGGAATTGCATTGAATCTGTACATCATTTGGGTAGCATGGACATTTTATCAATATTAAGTCTTTCATCCATGAATAAGGGGTATCTTTTCATTTGTGTCTTCTTTAATTTCTTTAACCAATATTTTGTATTAGTTTTCCATGTACAATAGCTTTCACTTTCTTAGTTGAGTTTATTACTATTTTGTTCTTTTTGGTGCTATTGTAAGTGGAATTGTTTTTCTAATTTCTTTTTCAGATAGTTCATCGTTAATGAATAAAAACGCAGCTGATTTTTTATCTTGATTTTGTATCCTGAAATTTTACGAAAGTCTTTTGGTGGAGTCTTTAAAGTTTTCTATATATAAGATCATGCCATTTATGGACAGGGACAATTTCACTTATTCCTTTCTGATTTGGATGCCTTTTATTTCTTTTTCTTGCTGAATTGCTCTCACTAGGTCTTAAAGTATTATGTTGAATGGAAGTGGCATAAGTAGGCATCTTTGCCTTGTTCCTAATAGAGGAAAAGTTTTCAGTTTTTCACCATTAAGTATGCAATTAGCTGTGGGATTTTCATGTATGGCCTTTATTATGTTGAGGTAATTTTCTGACATTCCTAGTGTGTTGTGAGTTTTTAATCATGAAAGGGTGTAGAATTTTGTCAAATGCTTTTTCTGCATCTATTGAGATGGTCAAGTAATTTTATTCTTCATTTTGTTAATGTAGGGTATTACATTAATTGATTTTCATGTGTTGAACCCTCTTTGCATGCCAGAGATAAATCCCACTTGGTTATAGTATATGAATCTTTTAATGTGTTGTTGAATTCAGTTTGTTGGTATTTTATTTAGGAGCTTTACATCTATATTCATCATGGATATTGGCTTGTAGTTTTCTTGGAATGTCTTTGTTTGGCTTTGATATGAGAATAATTCAGTCTTCATAAAATAGAAGTTTTAAAATTCTCCTCTTAAATTTTTTAGAAGAGTTTGAGAAGGATTGGCATTAATCGTTCCTTAAATGTTTGGTAGAATTCACTAGTGAATTATTTGGGCTTAAGTTTTTCTCTCCTAGGAAGTTTTTGATTACTGTTTCAGTCTCCTTACTAGTCATAGGTCTGTTCACACTTGACATTTCTTTCTGAATCAGTCTTGGTAGGTTGTATGTGTCTAGGAATTTATCCATTTCTTCTAGGTTATCCAGTTTATTGGCATATAATTGTTCAAAGGTTCTTACGAACCTTTTTATTTCTGTGGCATCAGTTGTAATGTATCCTTTTTAATTTCTGATTTTGAGTCCCCCTTTTTTTCTTAGTCTAGATAAATTTGTCAATTTTTTTTCAAAAAACATACTCTTAATTGTGTTGTTTTTTTTTCTATTATTTTTTGATTCTCTGCTTTGTTTATTTCTGCTCTAATCTTTGTTACTTCCTTCCTTCTTATCTATTCAGGTTTAGTTTGTGCTCTTTTTCTAGTTCTTTGAGGTATAAAATTAGGTTATTTATTTGAGATTATTCTTTTTTAATGTGGGCTATAAATTTCCCTCTTAGTACTGCTTTTCTTGTATCCTCTAAATTTTAGTATGTTATATTTTCATTTTCATTTGTTTTAAGATGTCTTCTAAGCTTTCTTTTGGTTTCTTATTTGACCCATTGGTTGTACACATGTGTGTTGTTTAATTTCTACATATTTATGAGTTTTCCAGTTTTTCTTCTGCTGTTGATTTCTAAATCACTCTATTGTAAATTATATGATTTTAATCATCTTAAATTTATTAATACTTTTTTTGTGAAGGAACATGTGATCTATCCTGTGGAATGTTCTGTGTGTGCTTTAGAAGAATATATATATATATTCTGCTGCTGTTGGTGGAATGTTCTATGTATGTTTATTAGTGTGTTTGTACTGTAGTGTTGATTAAGTTCACTGTCTCTGTTCTATCCATTACTGAGAGTGGGTATTGAAGTCTTTTACTGTTATTGTATTGCTGTTTCTCTTCTTGGTTATGTCAGTGTTTGCTTTATATATTTAGTTGCTCTGATGCTAGATGCATATCTTACTGGTGAATTGATCCTTTTATATAATGATATGTTGTCCTCTCTGTCTCTTGTGGCAGTTTTTCTTTCTTTATTTCAAAATATTAAATATTAAAGGGGTATAAATGTTTTTGTTAGATGGACACCTTGTATAATGCTTAAGTCAGGGCTTTTGGTGTACCTGTCTTGTGGTGGTTTTTGACTTAAAGTCTATTTTGTGTGATATAAGTACAGCCACTCCTGTTCTCTTTTGATTGCCATTTGCATGAAATACCCTTTTCTGTCCTTCGCTTTCTTTCTATGTATATCCTTAATCTAATGTGAGTTTCTCGTAGACCAAATAGAGTTGTATTTTTCTTTTAATCCATTCATCTTCTCTGTGTCTTTTGATTTGAGGACTTTAATCCATTTATATTTAAAGTAAATATTGATGGGGGAGGATTTACTATTGCCATTTTGTTATTTTTTTTGTGTTTGTCTTTTATTTTTTGTCTTTATGTTTCCTTTTTTCTCTCTTACTATCTTGTGTTTCATTAATTTTTTATATTGATATGCTTTGATTCTTTTCTCTTTTTCTTTTCTGTAACTTGTATAGGCATTGCCTTTATGATTGCTGTGTGGCTTACATAAAATATCTTATAGGCATAATAATCTATTTTATGGTAATATCTTAACTTCAATCACATACAAAAACTCCACACTTTTACTACTCCCTCCCACACACTTTATGTTATTGATGACACAATTTACATCCCTTTATGTAGTGCATCCATCATCATCTTCTAGTTGTAATTATTTCTATACTTTTGTTTTTTGACTCCTATACTAGAATTAAAAATGACTTACCCACCACTGTTGCAATAATTCAGTGTTCTATATTTGTCTGTGTATGTACCTTTACCAACAAGTTTTATACTTTCTTATACAATTGTGTTGTTGTATAGCATTCTTTCATTTCAACTCGAAAAACTCTCTTTAGCATTTCTTGTAAGGCAAGTCTAGTGGTGATGTACTGTCCTTCTGCTTCTGTTTTTCTGGGAAAGTCTTTATCTCTGCTTCATTTGTGAAGGAGAGTTCTTCCAGGTATAGTTTTTACTTTCAGCACTTTGAATACATTTTCTCATTCCCTGCCAGCCTGAAAGGTTTCTGACGAAAAAAGTCCACTCATAATGGACATAAGTATATATATAACAAGTTGCTTTTCTCTGGCTGCTTTCAAAATTCTCTCTTTGTCTTTGACTTTTGACAATTTATTTTTAATGTGTCTTGGTGTGGATTTCTCTGGGTTTATCCTATTTGGAATCCTCTGGACTTCCTGGATCTGTTTCTCTGCTTGCTTCC